AAATTTTGACTTTAATTCCACTGGCAAGGGGAGGCCCCAGGAAGGTTTTAAGCAGGGCAATGACAGGTTCATATTTGAATTTTATGGTGTTTTCCCGCCAGCCAGGGCCTTCTCTTATCTCTATAGACACGTTAGAGATCATTATTATAGGGAGTTTTATGACACTCTGTATTCCACTCTGTGCCTAGCCTTGTAAAAGCAGGTGCTCCATAAATATGTGTTGATTAACCTCTCAGCAGCATGTGACGCTGTTGATCATTCCCTTCCTCTTGAAGCCCAGGTCTTTGGCTTCCGTGCTGCCGCATGCTCTGGCTTCTCTCCATCCTCTGACTATTCCACCTGCCCCCTACCACCACCATATTTAAGCATTGTTTCATCTTCATCCTCTTTTTTCTTTGTTGACACTCTCCCCTTTGGTCATCTTGTTACCTCCAACAAAATGGACCTCATCCTTCTGAGCAGAACTTAAGTTCCACAAGGACTAAAACTTTGTCTGGTTCCTGTTGCATCCCCAGAGCATGGCACACAGCAGGCACCCAATAAATTATTTGATGGAAGCATACACTATATGATTGTTTATATGAAGCTCAAGAACACGCACAATCTGTGATCAATGTCAGAATAATGGTTATGGGGAAATAATGACTGGGAAAGAACACAAGAGAACTCGTGGAGGGCTGGAAATCTTGATCTGGGTAGTGGTAACACAGGTGTCTGCCTATGTAAAAGTTCATTGATCTGGAAGCTTAGGATTAAGTTCTTTACTATACGTGCGGGACATCTCAATAGGAAGGTAAAAAATAATGCAATATCACCACTCTCCTGCAAGGGAATTCCTAATTTCTTACGCTTGACGTGTCCACCTAGATGCCCATCTCATGGTCTTACCCAGCCTCCCAAATCAGCTCTTCTCCTGAGTTTCTGTTCCCAGTGTTGTCACCACTATGCTCCCAATTATTCAGTTTCCACACCTCAGAGCCATCTTATCCATATGCCACCTCTTCTTCCCTTCTGCCTCAGCCAGCTTTCCAAGACACATAAACACAAGTGGTCCTGTGGTTACACAAGACTTTAACCCTCTGGTGTTACTCCTGAAATTATGCTATATAGCAAAACAAAAAGTATGGCAGGGTGGGGGTAGGGGATCTAATCTAGTCACGGAGATCTTTAAGAGCAGGGTCACCCTCATGAAGTTTGGCTCAGTGGATAGAGCGTCGGCCTGCGGACTAAAGGGTCTTGGGTTTGATTCTGGTAAGGGCACATGCCCGAGTTGTGGGCTCAATCCCCAGTAGGGGATGTGCAGGAGGCAGCCGATCAATGATTCTCCCTCATCATTAATGTTTCTATCTCTCTCTCCCTCTCCCTTCCCTTCTGAAACAGTCTTTCTTTTCCTATTCGCCTGAGTAACACCTATTTGTCCTTCCAATTCTGATCTGAGTGAGGATTTCCTCCAGGAAGCCTTCTCTGACCTCCCTGACTAGGCCAAACTCCTCAATTAGAGGCTCTTGGAGGTCCCTTTTCAGACCTCAGAGGTAACTTCTACCTCTTATTTAACTGCCATGAGCGCCATTAGGACTGGGGCTGTTTCTGTTTCTGATCACCATCATGTCCCCAGGACAGAGCACAGTTCCTGGTCCAGAATTTGTGCTCAATAAATGTTTGTTAAAGGGATGAATGAATGAAAGGAGTACAAGGACTCTGCTTTAGCTAAACTGATTGCTTTTCCTACAGATGCTTTCTCATCTCCACCCTTTGTTGACTCATATCCCTCCACCTGATATGCTCTCTTGCCAACTCTGTTCTTCTGTAAATTCAACCCACTCCTGGTAGTCTCTACCAACTAATATTGACCAATATTTTGGCTTTCAGCGGCCTCTACCTCCATCCTTCCCCATGCCCCAACCAAGAGTATCTGTAGTTTGTATTATTTCTTTCTGATTATGAAAATAGTGCATACACATTGTAGAAATTTTAGATAACACAGATAATTCAAAATATAAAAGAAAAAAGAGAAACATTTCAAATATCACTTCCCAATGATAATTGCTGATTTTACTATACCATGTGGGGTAAAAGTAGATTTACAGTCATTCATATGGAAAATAATATAATATAATAATTAGTAAATAATCATCTATATATAAAAGCCTAAGCGACCATTATGACTGGAACGACCGGTTGACCAGTCGCTATGATGCACACTGACCACCAAGGGGCAGATGCTCAATGCAGGAGCTTCCCCCTGGTGGTCAGTGCGCTCCCACAGACAACCTCCCACAACCGGCCAACCTCCCACGGCCCTCCCCCCGGCCACAGGCCCTGATCGGGACTGGGTGAGATGGCCCTGATCACCAGCCAGGCCTAGGGACCCCACCTGTGCACAAATTCATGCACCGGGCCTCTAGTACAATATATAAACTCTGTTTTGTGTACTCACAACTGTAAACCTACTTATTATGTCTCACCCATATATCCACCCATTTTCCATACATAATCATGGAAAATTTTTAAACCTTACAACAAATTAATGAGGTTCATATTGTTCTCAAATTAAAAAAAAAAAGTTTCAGATAAATTCAATAACTTGCTCTAGGTCACTTAGAACTAGTAAAGAACTCAGAACAGAGCCCAGATTGGGACCTAAGACTCCAGCCTCACTGACATAGCCCCTGGCTCTCTCTGCTGTGCTCACTGTCCCTCCGGGCCCTTCTCCCTCTCCATCGCTTACTCCTCTTACATCACTGCTCTCTCCCTTCAAGCCCAGAGCCCAAACTCCCTCTGACACACTCCCTTTAACCCAATCATCCCACTTCACTTTGGCATTTTTTTCTAGTAATAGAAGACCACTTTCAACCTAAATGTCCATCAATCTGGTTTAATAAGTAACAATACAGCCTCACAATAAAATACTACACTGTAAGTCAATCAATGATTCTCTCTCATCATTGATGTTTCTATCTCTCTCTCCCTCTCCCTTCCTCTCTGAAATCAATAAAAATATATTTTAAAAAAATACTATACTGTACGAATAAGGAATGTCTTCATGCATTACTCTGGAATAATTTCTAAAGTAATTTGTTAAATAAAAAATATGTATAGTTTGCTATCATTTGTGAATATAGAGAATATTTCTATATGTGTGCACAAAAATGACACCAGTATTTGCTTCTGGAAGGGAGATATAGAGATTGAAAGTGAAGGGGGCCCTAACCGGTTTGGCTCAGTGGATAGAGCATCAGTCTGCGGACTGAAGGGTCCCGGGTTCGATTCCGGTCAAGGGCATGTACCTTGGTTGCGGGCACATCTCCAGTAGGGGGTGTGCAGGAGGCAGCTGATTGATGTTTCTCTCTCATCGATGTTTCTAACTCTCTATCCCTCTCCCTTCCTCTCTGTGAAAAATCAATAAAATATATTTTTTTAAAAAAAGAAAGTGAAGGGGGAGAAGGGACTTAATTTTCACTGTATACCCATGTATACTGTTTAAATTTTTGCCATACACATACATTTAATAAGTTTTTTAAAAAGCAAAAAATTCCAAGTTTTCTCTGATCATCCCACTGAGCTCACCTTTACTTCGTGTATGTGAAAGTCCCGGGACATGGGTGAGCCCTGCTCCCCTCTTTCTATAGCCTCCCAAGTGAGGCTCACATATCAACCATTTCAGAGACCGAAGACTTTGTCTTTTCCACCAGACAAGTAGGATCCTGCAGTCACTTGAAGGAAAAGGCTTTTGTTCTAGCCCCAGCTGTGCCATTTGCTAGTTGTGTAACCTTGGAAAAGTCAAGTCACCTCTCTGACGGGAGATTCTGTCTCCTCCATCAGGCAGGTGAAGAGTTCTCCATCAGCCTCCTAACTTCAAATAGTCTGTCCCCTCTGCCTAGAAAATGGGAATCACCCCCCCTTTCCTATCTCGACAGCTCCTATCCCTCCTTCAAGACTCAGCTTCATGCCACTCCTGAGGGAAGACCGCCCTAATCTCTTAGTTGAGGTCCTGTCCCTGTGCTGTAGCTTCTCCATCACAAGCTCTATAACACTTGGTGGGCATGACTTGTTCAGGGTTTGCCTCCCCAGTAAGACCGCAAGTGCCATGAGGACAGGAACCGTACTGTGTTTATCATGCCTAGCACAGTGCCTGGCACATGATTCGGGCTCAGTAAATATTTGCTCTGGCCACATCACCCTCATCCAGACCCCTCTCTTCAGTTCCTACTTTTTTTTATTTTATTGACTTTTATTTTTTTAATATAGTTTATTGATTTTTAAAAAATATATTTTATTGATTTTTTACAGAGAGGAAGGGAGAGAGATAGAGAGTTAGAAACATCGATGAGAGAGAAGCATCAATTCAGCTGCCTCCTGCACACTCCCTACTGGGGATGTGCCCGCAACCAAGGTACATGCCCTTGACCGGAATTGAACCTGGGACCCTTCAGTCTGCAGGCCGACGTTCTATCCACTGAGCCAAATCGGTTAGGGCTATTTTATTGACTTTTAGAGAGGGGGAGAAACATCAATTTGCTTCTCCACCTACCTATGCATTCATTGGTTGACTCCTTCATGCGCCCCTACCAGACCTAAGCGCAACCAGCAACCAGGACTACGCTCCAACCAACCGCTCCAACCAACGGAGCCACCAGGCCAGGGCAGATCCTACATATTGATAGACTGTAGCAGGCTCCCCCTGGCCACTCATGAAAGAAGGGTGCCACTGGGGATGGTGCCTCTCCCGTCCTGTTCTTCCCCTAAAGTCTCTCAGCCGACTGGGGCATCAGAGCCTGTGATCTTCCTCACCATCCAAAGCCAACTCCTGCAGGTTCCAGGCCCATCTAGGTCCAAAGCAAACTCCAGTCCCATCTAGGTCTCTCACTCAGGGCAGGGCCCCACCCAGGCCAAGGCCGGGCCCCAGACCCATTCCCTGCCCCCAGCCCAGCCCGAGAACATGGTGGCCCAGCCCAGCCTGGCAGGCCGGGCCCATCAATCGTGCTCCCAGGGGTACGAACCAATTTCTCTTGCTTTCCTGAGCCTGTCTCCCTGGCGGAGCCTGGAGGAGCCTTCAATCGCATTAATCCCAGGCTGGCGGCGGTGACGAAGACGGATTTCTCCACCAAACGATCCATTTGTATCTCTCGTGCACTCACTTGGTTTTTTTTTCTGTGCGGATGTTCAAAATATCATGAAAAAGGCGTTAGTCAGGTAGCTGTGGCGCAGCGAAATAATAGAGTGATCCGGCAATGCGCTCCTGACCTTGCAGGACAGCTAATCCATCCGCACATCTATCTTAATTATTCCCGGTTACAAAAGAGAAACTCCACCATTCATTCATTCCAGACTGGCAATTCCATTTTCCATCCCCACTCACGCCCCATCCTTTCTCCACCATTCCCCTAGCCAGATAGGCCCATTCACCAGTGCTGCAACAGTCCCCCCTCGGCACCCCGGTCTCGCCACTTCTGAGCCCACCCGAAGGCAATCCAGGGCCTAGCCCACTGATTCTTGAGATCAGAAGAGAGGCACTATAGCTCCCTTCCCCACAAATCGGACCAGTCCACCGGAGGAAGACTAGCTACCAACTCAATGAAGATTCACTGGGGACACACACACACACACACACACACACACACACACACGCACACACTGGCAGCCAAAGACTCATCCGGACTCTGACATTCAGACCTCCTCCCATACAGACATGTGTAGACAGACCCAACCCAAAGCAGACCATTTTAACTCTCCTGCTGCCCTGGCACAGATGTTGGGACAGATGCTGGGATGGGCATTTTGACTAAGACAAAGACCCCACCCACTGTATCCTCTCAGGCTTCCTCATTAGTACAACCTAAGCAGGTAAGAGCTGGAGGAGCAAGGTGGAGTGTGGGAGAGGAGGAGAGAAAAAGAGGGGAGGAGTGAGGAGAAGTGAGAGAGAAAGAAGGAAAGGGAGGATGGGGTGGTGTGGTGAGAAGGTCATTGACATGATATTGTGAAAGTGTCTGTTTGTGTAACACAATTTGACTAATTGTATCAGATTCACTTTGGGGATGCCTGTGCCAGTCTCTAAAGCCCTTTCTAATTCTACCCTTAATGTACAATTTTTCAGATCCCTCATTCTAATGATTTTAATGCAATCAGCAAAACTAGGCATGTAATTGTCTTGGCTCTGTGCTTGGCCATGGGGGCTCCTGGGAACCCTGGCTCCCAGTTCCCATGCTTCCCCCACCAATCCTTCCCTCTCTCCGTTTTTACCTCTCCATTCAGCCTCTGTCAACTAGTACAGAGTGAGACTTTTCCAGCTCCGGGGGCTGTGGGAGAAAAAGGAGGAGTCTCAGTCCCAAATCTGAGTGAGGAAAGGACGCAGGGTGTCTGTCTAGGCCAGAACTGGGCAGGAGGGACTGTCTGCTGGCCCAGCCCTGGCTAGATGTGGGGGTTTAGAGAAGGGGGGGCTTCCTGGAAGAGCTCAGTGGCTCTCCTCCCCTTCCCAGAGCAGCCTGGGCTGGGCCTGTGGGGCAGCGAGCAGGGGAAGGGCCATTTGTCCTGAGACAATGGGAGAAAAGGGGTCTCAGAGCGGCTGTTGAGAGTCAATTTGTAGTAGTGACGGCTGAGGTTGCTCCAAAGGCTGGGAACAGCTGGAGCTCAGGGTGACTGATGGGTGGGCCCAGGAGAGGGGCCATCGGTCTGGCAGACACAAAGGCCCCGATGGTGCGCGGGTGGGGCCTGTCAAAATCATTAATTGCCCAAGATGGGAGCCCCTGACTTCAGATGGGACCAGTGGGTAGGGGGAAGAGGTCAGGAGCCTACCCCTCCCTCCCCGCAGCCCCTCTTAGGAAACTCAACTACCCACACCCCCCTTATTTACATAGACACCCACCCCCAGCCTTCCTGGTCCCTGGCCTCACTCCAGTGAGACTCCAGGTTCCCGTCCGGTTTGAGCAGCTCTGGCTCTGGCCAATCCTGGGCCTGGCAAGGCCTCTCCAGGCCTCTTTGAGAGACTCGCCCCCCCCCCCACCCCCCAGCTTTGCAGTCTCCACACAGCGCTTCACTCACTTCTCAGGGAACAGAACAGCCTCAATTCAGGACCAGGAAAGAGCGCCCCTCCATTTCAAAGGGGAGAAACTGAGGCCCGCGGTGACTTCTCCCGCTTCTGGCTCTTCTTCCCCAAGCGGGGCGGAAGGGCAGGGTTACCAGGAGAAACCCGCCCCCTCCCCTCCTCCAGCCCCTCCCCGCTCCGCCGCTCTCCGGGCGGGAGAGGGACGCAGTGACCCAGCCAGGTGGTGATGATGCGGCCGGCCGCCTTGGTCACTCTTGGCCGCTCCCCGAGCGCAGCCCGACCCCCCTCGCACGGGTCACGGCGCCGGCAAAACTCCCTGACACAGAAACGCCGCAGGGCTTGCGCGTGCCGGGGACAATCCTCCGCCTGATGGGAAGCGACAGCCCAGCTCCGCCCCCCTCCGCTCCGGTCCCTCCCGCTGCTCCTCCCCTGCTCCGGCTCCCAGGCCCGCTGCAGGCCCAGCCCCAGTACGTGCCCTGGCCCCCTCGATCCCGCCCAACAAGTCGCTGCCAAGCCCTCCAGGGTGTCCCAGGACGGGAGAGGGGAGGAGGAGGAGCCGAGTTGAGGGGAGTGGGGACAAGAGGGACACCCGGCCAGGCACATGGCAGCTGTCAGTGATGGCAGGGGGAAGCAGACAGCAGCAAAATGGTTTGTTTTCAGGACCCTGCTTCTGTTGTCACCGTGTTCCCATAGAGAAAAGACTGGAAAGAAACAGACCAACTTGTACTGGGAGCTCCCCTGGGTGTGAATTCATAGGTGGTTTTCCTTTCTTCATTTTACTTATCTGTGTCTCCTGGAGTTTTTGTTTGTTTGTTTGTTTGTTTAGGGGATTTTTATTTTTTGTCTTTGAAGGTTTGTTTGTTTTCAATAAGCATATCTTGTGTGATATCCCCCCAAAGTTGTAAAAAGCCAATCCAGGGCAGGGGCTGCGGTTGGAAACTCCCACCCAGACTCCAGGCCCTGTCACTAACTCCGCCACAGGGAGGGAGGCTAGTGCACTGTGGATGAGCTGGGTGTCAGATCAGGCTGGGGGATGACCCCTCAGCTCCAGGGGCCCTGTTCCCCCTCCCACTTCACCTGCAGAGGTGAAGTGTGTGTGTGTGGGGGGGGGGGGGGGGGGGGGGGAGCGCGCTGGCTGTAGGAGAAAGGCCCAGATGTACAACAGTAGTCTCTCAGCATTTCCTCACACAGGGACGGACCCTCAAACACTCAGGGGCATGCTCCCACGCTGCCACACATCCACATACATTCACACATGTATTTACACACCTATAAGCCTATCCTTGTAGACATGACCACACAACCAAGAACACACTCATTCACCACCACAGGCTCCTACGAGCACTGGTGGCCGTCCTGTACACACAAACTCAGCATGTCCTTCTCAGCCCCAGACAAATACTAGTCATGGCCTCCTGCTCTCAGCCTTCCACCAGCCCAGACCCATCAGGGAGCGAATGCCTCATTCACCTCAAATGCCCTCATTCATCGTCTGCAGCTGTTTTTCTGCTCACCTCCATGTAACCTCCTCCTGGCTAGCAGCCTCTCCTATCCCTCTCCCCAAGGCTCCTACTCCACTTCTTAGTTGTGAGAAATGGGGGAAAATTTGCACGCTCTACCACCTGACTTCAGTCCCAGATTTGGTATGGAAAGGGGCCTGAAAGAGAAAATGAGGGATCCCCTATGAAGCCCCCCAGTAAGAGGCCTATGTGGAATCTCCGTGGGCTCCCAGGGCTGTGTCTGGGCCCCTCCTGCCTTCCACCAATGGACTGCTGACCGTGCCCACAGAGTCTTTCCCTTCCTCTGCTCCTGCCTCACTCCTACCCATCCTTTGTGGCCTAGATTCCCCAGGAAGCTTCCCCTCCTGGAGCCACCAGCCTAAGGCCAGGCTGCCCACTGGCAATCCCATCCCCTGACTGTGCCCCTCACTGAAGGGATATTCCTTCACGTTTGGTTCTCACCCTAGTTGTGAACCCCGCGAACGCCTACAAAACAGGGGCAGATCTTCAATTCATCATACATTCCCTACCCATATTTGCCTGGCATTCCCTCAGCCGGCTCCTTGAGGAAGGAGCTGAAGAATGTGAGTATGGCTTGTGTCTTCCTTGTTGAGTGTGACCTGTGTGAGTGAAGAGGAGGTGGGAGTAGAGGCAGCCACAGGGCATAAGTGCCCGCTGCCTGTTTCCTCTGTGAAAGCACTAACAACCAATGCATTCCTCCCAACTACCCCGTGTGGGAGGTGTCCATTTTATACAGAAACAGAGGCTCACAGAGGTGACATTATTTCTCTAAGGTCACAAGGCTGGGAGTGACAGTTTGCCAGACTGTCAGTCTCTAGGGCTGGGGATACTAACTGCTCTGCCTCCCCGGTCATGGCCCAGGATGGTGTGGTGGGGAGGAGCTGCTTTCTGATAACCATGCTGCCTCACCCCCACCTCTCCAGGGTGAGGGGGTTTCTGGTCCCCTCTCATGATGGGCCCTAAGTCTGTTGCCTTTTTCTCGGCTCCTTACTTTGGCTCTGATTCCCCTTTATGCCTTCTCTCTTATATCACCTCTGCCCAAGAGCACCATCACCTCAGTGTTCCTTTGGTCTTAAACACATTTCCATGAAGAAGAAAGCAGGGGCTACTGTCTTGGCTCCATCACTGACCAGCTGGTGGCCTTGAGCAAATCACTAATCACAAATCTTCTCTGGCCGTGGTTTCCCCAAGTATGTGCTGTCTGAGGTTCCCTCCGGTGTCAGCAATCTGGGCTCCAACCCCTGGTGAGAGGAGAGCAATAGCCAGCACCTTACCCAGCCCAGCCCACCCCCAGACCTCCCAAGAGGGGTTTGGGCTCCAAGAGGGCTGGGAAATGCTGTGAATTAATTACCATCAGACCTCCGGCCGCTGTTCATCTCAGTAAACAAACATTTTAATATGCAGTAATTAATTACATCTGCCACACCGACCCTCCTCTCATTCATCCTTCTTCAGCTTTTCTTCTGCTCACCCTGAACCAACCTCCTCCTCCCAGTTGGAGCCTGAGAACCCAGGGAGGGCCTCCTCCCGCCACTTCCCCAGCCTTCTCCCCCCACCCACCAGGTGCAGGTGCTCACGCCTGCCACACTACCCTGCAGCTTTTTGTTCCCTTTTCTGGTTCCCTAGTACCTGTCTTTCTGACAGTCTTTTGTCTCTAGTTCTCTCTGCTTGGATTCCTCTCCCCCCACCCCCCAACAAAGTCTGATGCCCAAGGACACATTCTGGGAGGCCAGGAAAATGAGGAAGCCAGTGGATCTGTCCCCAGTTCCCCAAATACATGCGCACACCTTTCAACTCCTCAGTGGCCCAGCACCAGGCTACTTTACAGGGACTGTCTAAAAGCCAGAACAGACCTATTTCCAGGAGTATCCCTCCTGGCCCTACGAGCTCCCAAGAGTCCTCCAGAACCCAGTCCCTTCTCCTACCCCACTCCCCACCTTCACAGCAGTTAAGTGTGAAAAGCACAAAGTGGACACATCCTCCCAGGTAAGCCCACCTGGCCACACCACAACACCTTTGCACCATCTCCAAGAACCAGGAGTACCAAGATTGCATCCACTCCCCTGCCTCAGGACTCGCCAGGGGTAGGCAGCCTAACATGGTGGGCATGTGGTACCCAGTCCCTGGAATGGAGGGTACCCCTTTTCTAGGGAGGTTCATGGTGTCCTGCCTGGAGTCTGGTGGGAGCGAGAGAGTGACCAACAGTGGGTCAGAAGCGAGAACCCCTAGGTGAAAACGAGACGAGGGGGACCAGGTGCCTAGGGTTCGGAGCGACAGGAGGGTGAGAAAAGAGCCGGTGGTGGGAGAGTTATGGCCCAGCCTGGCCACGCTGGGGGAGCCGGGAGCGGGATGGGCTGGGTAGGACGGGCGCCACCAGGCGTGGCGCAGGGAGCGGAGCAGAATGAAATGCAGATGCAAAACGTGCTCGTAAGAGTTTCCTCTCTCTCCCCCATCTGCCAAAGCCGAGATTTTAATCTTTAATCCATGAGCAATCAGCGAGCAGCGGCGAATGGCACATTACAGATGTTTTAC